AAAAATAGTTTCCTGGCACATGGGAAAGGCAAACAGTAGAATATGGTATGAATAATGTGCAGCAGGTCTAAATTAGCTGGCCAGTGCTTGGGTATTTTCGTAAGTGCAAGATGGGAGAGAAAAATTATATCTATTAATGTAGCAAATACTTTAATATTTTACCAATAGTGTTGTAATAATATGATTTTTAAGTGGAATTTAATATTTTATAATAGCCTGAATTATGAGGAATATTTAACAGTAATTTATATATAACTGTCTGGCCTTGCTGACAGTGTTCACCCCATCCTTTCACTGTGGCTTGCTGATTTCCATGTACGTTTTTAAGTCTTGCTGAGAAATCTGTAGGAGAGACTTGTTTGCTCCATCTATGAAACTGGCAGGTATGATCAAAGATTGTACTGAACACTTGGTGCTGTAAGACTTGTTCCATATTTTTTCATATTAGTTTTGTGACCTGTGATGGTTAAACCTGCCTTTTGCCAATTCTTTGAATGGAAACAAAGCTCTTGGCTCAAGCTACTGAGCAGCTTTTTAGTGGGTTTTGTGAAGTCTCAGTTTGGAGTTGCCTGTCAGAAGCTTTCTTGCTTTGGTTATGGGATCATTGTAGTGCTCCACTTTTTCACTGTTCATGAGTCAGCTTAGACAACAATCTGTGCTAGTATTGGCTTATGGTACTTCATCAGTGCAGTGCCTCATCCATTTCTGTGTGCCACATAACTGTGTATTGAATCTTTGTAAAGTGGACTGGAGACTGGGTCCAGGGAGGGGGAGGCATGGACGTTTGATTTTCTGGGTGGTGCTTCAGAGAGAGGAATTCCTTGTTGCAAGTTGCAGCTCAGCTGCATGGGAAGTTGTGCCAGCACAGTTGAAAGGCAGCACAGAGGCAAGGGTAAGTAGCAAAGAGGGTGAAACAAGTTCAGAAGGTGGGTATGGAAGTACCTTAAGGCTGATAATGCTGCCCAACCCACACACACGTTGTTTCGTATGGAAAGTTTACAAGTATCTGACAGCTGCCTTGTTACCTCTTAAACTACTACTTTTATTATCTACAAGAATGCATTTAACATACATTTTAAAAGCTAGTTTGGATGCTTATTTTTCTGACGTAGCAATGTTTGAGGTTTGCCCTGGGATCACCCTGTCTGGCCAGTACGATGTATGTTAAAAACTACTGGTGAGTGTAGATTCATAGGAGGTTTCTTTACTGCAAAGTTTGTATACACATTTTTTCCCCTTTTAAATTAAACAGTGATCACAGGGTATGAAAATGCCCAGTTTCTGAATGTGGCCTTCAGTCTGTCAAATTTGCTGACATTAATTTGATGAAAAAAAGATCTACTGCAGATACAGGCTCTACCAAAACTTTGCATTATTTGTAGAATAAATAAGCTGAAAATTAAGGGGGTGCTTCAGACTATTTTGTACCCATAAGAATGGAGTTGTTTGTAATACTTCTGCCACTCACTTCTAATGGCATGCTAGGTGGAGCTGCAAGAAGCAGACAATGGTGTTTATTTGAAAATAATTCTAATAAACCATGGGTTTGCAACGTGGTTCAAAATTTTTAATGTAATTCTTTAAATAAGGTATTTGAGAAGACTATATATTAACTTTTCTTTCAAATAAGACAACAGTACTGTTTTTTATAAGTCTTTAGCTTTTAGGAAGATGAAGCACAAGCATTTAGTGCTATTTTTGAGTAAGGAAAAACTTTGAAGTCTTCGGACAAATTGCCCCTCCATAAGCAAATCCAAATGTCCCAGCTTTGCATGAGCAATTGCTAAGTACATATTAGTCTACGTATTTGCTAGTGCTGTCCCTGTACAATCAGCATGCACTATAACTTAAGTGCTTTTATACGTAAGTATGAATCAATCTCTGCAGAGTGAAATTCAGATCTATATCATGCAGTCTGATTCTTTTTTCCGCTTCACACACAGAGTGTTGGACTTAGTCATTTTATTTTGCCACTATAGTGACAATTTGTTTACATTTTCTAGTAAGAACAGTCCTATTTGCTCTTGAGTATGGGAAACGATCGCAAACAAATGCTTAGAATTAGAATACCTAGTCCATCTTCCAATGGGATGTGTCATGTGGGGCAAAACGAAGAGCATTCTGCAGCCTGTTGTTGGCATCCCTGTTGTCTTTGCTAGGTCACTGCCCCACCAGTTCTGCTGTTGCATTATTAGCTGTGTAACGAAGGTGAGTTCTTCACAAGACTGTTGAACTTGGGATTGCAAAATCACATGGCCTTACACTGCACCTTTTTCTCCCTTCTGTTGTCCTAAGGTGGCTGGAGAAAGATATGTCTACAAGTTTGTTTGCGACCCTGAAGCGCTTTTCTCCATGGCTTTTCCAGACAACCAGCGCCCCTTGCTGAAGACGGACATAGAGCGCCACATCAATGAGGAGGACACTGTGCCTCTGTCCCACTTTGACGAGAGCATGGTCTACATGCAGGACAGTGGCTGCTGTAACACCCACCCTTACAACGAAGGCTATGTCTATTAACAAGTGACAGTGAAGGGGATGTTTTCCCCCTCCCTTATGCTTCTCCTCTTTCACAAGACCCAGAGGAAAGCTGGATCGACTTCAGTTTGTTTTTTAAATAGTACACTAAAGGGGCTTTTCTTGTTGCATTACTCCTATGGTCTGCCATGGACAGCGCACTTTATTTGAAAGGGGAGGGTTAGGACCTAAATGTTATTCTGTGTAACAGGAGGAAAAGGGTGGGTTTGCTTTTTACTTAAGTTCGGGAAGGGAACGTACAGGTTTTAAGTACAAAAAAGCTATCTCATGTCTGTTTTGTTTCATATCAGTATAAGATATTGTACACTTTCTCTGGGTGTCCATAGTACAGTTAATTCTCATTGTGCAAAATAACCACTTGATGATGGTATCAGCACAGCATGCCTAGGGCATTTGTTTCATGCCATTCTCAATTGTCTTTCTGCAGTTATGAAAGAGAAGCAAAGTGTGTACCACAGCATTTAATTTAGAAGCTTGCAGTGGTAGACCTTGCACTTTGCCTCTGAAAACAACCAGGTATTGAGAGAGGTTTTCCTTTTAATTTTTTTTTTTCTTTTTTTTTTTTTTTTGGAATGGCCTCAAAAAGAATCCCGTTTAATGACAGAGCTGCCATAATAAGTACAGTGACTAAGCAGCAAAATCCCTGGCTTCAGACTGCAAACTACATGCTGTATCCAGTGCCACATTCCTATACATACATGGCCCATGCTATGGCTTAGACCTTTCAAGATCCATCTGAGGGTAGCAATTACATGTGGTGGGCTTTCTGATGATCATGTCAGAATTAAATACAAGTTCATGATCAGGAGGGAGAAAACATTTTGTATCCCTCCATTTCCTTTGGTACATAAATAAGTTATTTAATCAATAGGAATTAACTGTACTAAGTCACATATCTAATTATGCTGTTTAGACACAGCAAGCACTCCTTGAGAAAAATATCCAATACACTAAATAGGTACTTTAGTAATTTTTAGACACGGTACCCATTAATATGCATTTAAACCTTTTACTGCTGTGTTATGTTGATAACATATATAAATACTAGATAATGCTAATGCTTCTGCTGCTGTCTTTTTCTGTAATACTCTCTTTGATGCTGAATTTACTATGACCATTTATAAGCAATGCTGTAATTACAGGTAGCATTTCAGGACAAAATAGATGACTTGAACCATTTATTGCTTAGAAAATAGCTTACGCCATAGCTGTGCTATAAGCAGCTTTTATGCGCATCCACAAATGACTAGTAAGCTTCAGCTTGCTAAGGAAAGCTCTGCAGAACCTTTTGTAATTTTCGGTGGAACGGAGACTTAGAGGAACTGTCAAAGTAAACCATGAAGTCACTGTATGACGTTGTAGTGCTGGCACTGATGTTACCAATCAACTGTTTTGGACACTAAATGTAAATGTGATCAGATATGCTCAGAAGACAATTTAAATTTCGAGGGTTTGTTTTTCTGTTGGTGTTATTTTTTTTTCAAGTTGTTTTAGGGGTGGTCTTGAACACAAGCCACACACACTACTCTGTATGGAAAATGAGGTGAAAAAAAAAAAGCCCTGATAAAAAACCCCAAAATTTTAAATATTTATGAACACATTTTTTCTGAAATATACTATTTCCTGGTTTGAAGGGAGGGAGAAGGGGTAAGATCTGGATTTCTTTTTTTGCCCAGTGAAATTTAAATAGGTGTTACATGGAGTACCTCATTTTCCTTTATTCCTGAGAAGCAGGAGGAAACTGAATGCATAACCATAAAAGATGAGAATAATTTTCATCATAATGGATGGATTTCCAAGACAGTCCTAGGTGGTGGGTTTATTTTCCATCTTCTGTCTGTTAAGATACTAGTTATGCTATGGATATTTTGATATGCTGTTAATCAAAAGTAAAGAAGTAGTGGTCACTAGAAACCACGGGTGCATAAAAAACATTTGGGCAGGTATTTAATTTATGCAGATTCATAAAAGAACCTATTTTATGTGAGTGTATGTATGCCTTAATATGTCACCTAATTCTGTCATCCATAAGTCTCAATGGCACTTAATTTTTCAGTGATCAACCTAGAATCAAAAGTCTAAAATTGCAGAATTAGTAAAAAGGAAAGGGGAAAAAATGTTGAGTAAGATTGTTTGAAAAAGATGTGGTTTCCATTGAAATAAGGTTCAAATGAAACATGCTTTGATGAAAAGTCCTTGAATTGGTTTTGATTCTTTAATGTCAGCATGAAGCGCCTCTTGCCTGTGGCAGGATGTGGGTATTTGGGAAAGGGGTTGGACAAAAAAAAAAAGGAAAAAAAAAAAGAGGAAAAAAGAAAAAAGGAAAAATATACATCAAATGTGTAATATTTAAGAAGAAATATATATATATCTGTGTACGGTAGTGACTCACTGAACAAAACAAGCAATCAGACCAACATTACGTGATCTTTCAACAGAAGATATAAAAGTATTTCACTGAACTGATTTACCCTTTTTAAAATGTACCTAAGAGGTTTATTTAAAGTCTGTTTTTATGCCACTTTTTTTTGTTTGTTTGGGTTTTTGTTTGTTTGTTTGTTTGGGGTTTTCAGGTAGAATAATAAATCTGGCAGCTGATTTCTGCAAGATTGTTGTGTATTGGATTCCTAACCATTTGGACTGGAAAGGCCCATGCAGTAAGGCAGTTCTTCTGGAAGAGAAGATGGTGGTCCATTCCCAGTGCCTAGAATGGCTTCCTGCAAAATGTTACCAAAAAAAAAAAAAAAAAAAAAAAAAAAAAAAAAAAAAGAGAGAAGTGAGGAAAGTGAGGAGTATGTACAATTAATCTATATGTATAGATGAGTTATAGCCAGGAGTCAGATTGCCAAAGCATCCTATTTGGCTGACAAATGAGAGGAAGATGGTGTATGTAAATTTAGAGAATGTTTGATTCCTACTAAGAACACTTACACATTTTTGAAGGGCATTTTGATATCCTTCTGATTTGAATGTGGGGTGTTGGGGGCTGGGGTGGGGGTGATGGGTTTTCATTTGGTTGGTTGGGGTTTTTTTGATTTGTTTTCAAGCTGTGCCACAAGTGGAGGGAAAATGCAGGCTTCACCTGTTTTTAGGAGCTGTAACAGAGTTAGCTTGTGCATGTTTGCTTGTGCATCTTTTTGTTGCCCCGAGCAGTGGGCAGCCCAGGGTAGAGCTGCTGAGAAGCAAAACCAGGAGACATCACTGCACTCACTGTGGTACTGCTGTAGGTGCTTAGGTTTCCTCTGTCATGAATGTTCAGCTGCACTGGTAGCTGAACAGAGGTAAAATGAGATAAGGTCTTGGCAGATCCCCTCAGAATCCATTTGAGAGAGTTAAGATTTAGAGCAAGGCACAGATTTTGCTTTAGAGATATGACTTTCCATGATGAAGAGCCTAAGCCTTTTCTCTTCAAGGTTATACCAGTCTAACTTAACCACACATCAGCTACGGGGCAAATCTGAACATTACATTCTCTGAAAACATTAATTTCTTGTGCTTGTCAGACCAAATCTGCCTGCTTTACTCACAGCTGGCTGCTATGGTAACAAGGGGAAGTTAGGGTACAGGAACATTAAGGATCACTTTCTCCAGTAATTCCTTCCAAATAGCCCTTTACTCAAAATCTTTCTGTCTTTGGGATTCTCTTGGTACCTGGGACTATTCCCCAGGGTTTAGTGTTTAGATCTTTATTGCCTTTGACATCTGACTCTTTTGGGCTGCACGTCCATATTCACAGGACGATATCATCTAGTAAATATTTTTGCCTTGCTTGTGGTTTTTCGTTGGTTTATTTTTTAACAGCAGGAAATAGATCAATGTGCGCGAAAGGTATTACGAGGAAATCTTTGAATTGTTAATTGCTATACTTTCCCCTCTGAAGAGCATTAGCTCCAGTTCACATCAGTAACACTGAGGACTTTTCCAAATAATCTTCAGAGATGTTTTAGGAATCTTAATTAATACAGTGTCTTGCACTCTTAAGAATCATCATTCTGGAATTAGCCCACTTGGATCTAGCTGCAAGAGCCTAGAAGATTGATCTCAGTTCTCTTTGCTGGTTGGTTGAGTTTTGTTGTTGTTGGGAAATGGGGTTGGTTTGGGTTTTGTTTGTTTGGTTTTTTTTTTGTGTTGTTTTGTTTTGTTTTGCTTTTTTTTAATCAGAGGCTACTCTGCCTGGAAAGGAGTTAGCAACTGGAAGCAGGTACCTCTGCCTCAGCAACTTTAGTTCTAAGCCCCTTGCATTTTGCTAAGATGCCAGGCTGAGAACTGGAGCATCTGCAATGTGTAACGGAGCCCTTGTTTTTCTTGCAGAACAGGCAACTGTAGTGCATCATCCTCTGTTGCTTCTGCTGCAGGAGTGGTAATCCCTGACAAAACAGGGGGATGGAAAGGTAGGAGCAGTGGCATTTTAAAAGTGCAAGATTACCCAGAGGATGTGTCAGTTCCCTAAGAATCGAATGCCTCAGCAGAGCACTGTACCTTACCAGGCAACTTTTGTGACTATGTAGGTAGGTAAAGTTAACTCAGTCTTTTACTTCAGGAGGCTGAAATACTGGTTTCCCCCTTGAACACAAATTTAATTTCTGTGGAAAGGAAATATCTGTGCTATCTTATGTAATAGTTTGAAAATGCCGATCAAGAGTCTTGTTGACATTTTCTTAAAGAACTATTTTTTCTGTGAAAATGACACCACAAACATGACTAAAAGAAAGGGTAAATAAACTCTGAGAATGTATCCATACATCTCCAAAACTAGTGCTACTTACCCTAGAAATGTATCATGTCTTAATACTGCTACAGTATTATCCTTATTGCATACTTTCATTGGAGTGACTTCAGAAGTACATAGCATACCCTTAAGGGTTTTTGTTTTGGTTTGGTTTTTTGTAAATGAGCTTCCTGCTGTTAATACAATTTACAGGAAGGTACCCCTGAGTAAGGGTCACAATCAAGCACTGGGATCTTGTAAACCATAATTCTGTGTCTCTGCTCTTGCAAAGCTCTATGGACATTTCTAACCATATCCCTACTTTTTAGTTGTATGGTAGAGAACAAATTGCAGCCATTGGTTTGGGGTTTTTTTTGTTCGTTTATGAGTAGCTATCATTTGTTTTGGTTCAGAAGGAATGTCTCTAGGTATCTTTTTCTACACTCGGGTAACCAAGTGGATACTTAGTGTCCAAAATAGCACTTTCACTGTGTCATTCACAGTACAGGCTACAGCAGTTCCTTACTGCTGCTGTAAAATGGAAAGAGTAGAGGTGTTAACACCATTTTCTTTCCTTCTCTCTGTAATAGGACCCAGCTGATCTATCTGAAGGTAGTTCAGATGCTTCTTCACTCATCCATGATATTTTAGTGAAGAGTGCAGTCATTAATTAGTACAGTGGCACTTTATAGAAGCTTAGGTACAGATTTGAACATTTCAGATGTACTGCAAAGGGCTCTCTAAGACGGCTTTCAGTAAAAGCTTTGCTTGGGGAGTGGCATATGGCTACACAACCTAAACGGAGGCAGAAGGAGGTGATTGCAGAGGTGCCAGCTCCTCAGAGCTTGAGACATTTGCTGAAATATGTAGTTAAGGTTGCTGCCTAGCCAGGTGGGGTGAGCCTGCCCTGGAAGACCTGGCAAGGAGCTCTGTGTGCATGCAGAAAGCCAGGGAGAATGGGATCCCAGCATGCCTGTGTGAAACACAGAGATGGGAAAAAGTCCGTCAGGGGCAATCTGGCCCTACCAACTAGCTAATCCAGGGCTAATTAGTACAGGAAGGAGGAGGTTTTATGAGTGATATAGTAAATCACAGGGATAATTATTTGAAAGACATGTTCCCGGAGAATCCTAAGAAATGATGGAAAGTAATAAACTCTGTAAACAGCAGTGATTTTTTAAGACCCCAGTGCTTGTGGGATTGCTTCAGGAAGAGAGAAAGTAGAACAACAGAAAGGGACAATAATATTAGATGAGAACTACAGAAGTTAAATCATGAACTGCATTAGGGAGCCTGGAAGATTGCAGTGTTTTAGATAAGGAAGAGACAGATAAGTACAGGGTCAGTAAACTGAGATAAGAGCAAGAGAAAGAAGGTAATTGGAGGCAGTGCACTTCGTGGTCAGTGGGCCAAATGTGTTATGCTAATAGAGCTGCACCAGAGATGTTTGGCCCCTGTAGTGCCTCCCCAAGGGCAGGAATATCAGAAATGACTTTGAAGTGATTGTTGATAATTTAGTGAAACCATCTGCACAGGGTTTGGTAGCTGTTAAAAGAGCAAACAAGACATTGGAATATGCAGAGTGTTCTGGGCTGTAAATGTAGTGACTTTATTGTCCCACTGTGTTAAAAACAAACAAACATAACAAGAATACCTTATAGGATAATGGTTCAGATTGTGGGTTGGTGTAAATGAGCTTCATTTCCTTGAAGTCAGCTAAGTAGCTTTATGCTAAGAGAATTTTGG